AGAAGCAGGCTCCCCGTTGAGCAGGGAGCCCAATTTGGGGCTCGATCCTGGGACTCCAGGATCATGACCTGAGCCGAAGGCAGTCGCTTAACCAACTGAGCCACCCAGGCGCCCTCCTTTTTTTTTTTTTTTTTTAAAAGATTTTATCCATTTGAGAGAGAGAGCACATGAGCGGGGAGAGGGGGAGAGGGAGAGGGAAGAGCAGACTCTCCACTGAGCCCAGCCATGGGGCTCGATCCCAGGACCCTAGGATCATGACCTGAGCCAAAGGCAGACACTTAAGTGACTGAGCCACCCAGACACCCCTCTAGTCTCCCCCTTATGACGATCAGCATTTCACAAGTCATTGTGGCTTCAACAGCCCAGTGAAATGAGGACTTTCTCCTAACATTCCCATAATCATTCATTCATTCATGGGTAAAGTAGACCCTCAGCAGCCTGATAGCCTTCACTGTTTTATCGCCGTCCTTTTAGAAATGTAGTGTTTACTAGGGCTGGTCTACTCCATATGTGGCTTCACCAGCACTACTACTTTCCTGGGTCTGGGGTCAGGTTCATGCTGGTGCCTGACATGGCGCCAACTAATAATTTAACAAATAAATTTATCAGTAAGACATAATTCCCTGTAATCTTATTTCCAAGATATATTTCTAGACTCTAGTGTTTTAATGGTTCATAGTAAACATAGAAATGTTTAACAACTTTTTTTTAATCAGTGTATCTTGGGTATTCTAGAGCCATACTCTTATAAGAATTGCAATTAGCAGAGCTCCTTGAGGGCAGGGACTATCTAAGTATTTATGAAACACAACACATAGATGATACAATTGTTGAATGACTACATGGTAATGATTCCTATGTAAATACAGATTACATATTTCAGCCAATACTGGGACAATTTTTCCTTTAAATTTCTATAGAACTCTTGGATGGTGTGTGATTTCATTTATATTGCTAATTATATTTAGCATTATTCTGTGCTATACCCACTATTTCAATAATTTTGTCCCAGTTATTTTAAAAGAACAAGTTGAAGGGGAATCGTATATCTTATTCAGTACATGGAAGAACGACAGTTAATTGATTCTACTATTATGTTTAGACTCATTCACATGAACAGCCCAATTAGCTCCCAACAGTATTTCCCTGCCAGGTTGCATAATTAATGCAAATTAATATAAGTGGCAGTTGATTATATTCCATTTATGAGTACTATGGTTATATCTGTGTACTGGGAAATTCTAGTTTTGATTAGAGACTTCTTCTCACAATCATATCTAGTGTTTTTGCATTACCTAAAAGAAGTTGACTTAATGTATTTTATCAAAACTTGTCCAATATCTCACATTTCCAGCTATGCTTTTGCTATCCGTAACTACTTATATTAGAAAATAAACATTCAGGGGCGCCTGGGTGGCTCAGTCGTTAAGCGTCTGCCTTCGGCTCAGGTCATGATCCCAGGGTCCTGGGATCGAGCCCCACATCAGCTCCCTGCTCCGCGGGAAGCCTGCTTCTCCCTCTCCCACTCCCCCTGCTTGTGTTCCCTCTCTCGCTGTGTCTCTCTCTGTCAAATAAATAAATAAAATCTTTAAAAAAAAAAATTAAAAAAAAAAAAAAAAAAAAAAAAGAAAATAAACATTCAGTTAAAGATCTGAGCAACAAAATCATGCATATGTCTGTTTTTGCTAATGATTTAGAAAAGCCCTAATTCAAATTGTTTTATACCATTCTGAAGTTAATTTGTAATAGTCTGTAATCCAAGTTTAAAGTATGTTCATATTATCTTAACGAAATAGCCAAAGGCAATTAAAAGCCAAATTTGCTTTTTCTAGCTTTTTAAAAATATTTTACTTGAGAGACAGAGAGAGAGATAGAGCATGAGCAGGGAGGAGAGGGATAAGCAGACTCCCTGCTCAGCAGGGAGCGCAATGTGGGGCTCAATCCCAGGACCCTGAGATCAAGACCTGAGCTGAAGGCAGATGCTTAACCAACTGAGACACCCAGGCACCCCTTTTCTCTGGCTTTTAATATGTAAACTGATCAAAAGATTTTCATTGTTTCACATATCTAACATTATAAATCCTTTGCAATATTTAAATCATTGAAATAATATGGATAATAAAAAATTTACAGTCTATGGAAAATTGCACTAGTATGAACAGATGAATTTTTGCAACATACAGAATCAAGACACTGGACATCGTCTCTTCAGCCAGGAACAAATGCAGGTCTTTGTGTGTCTTATGTCCCATCTAGGCCTTAGCCTAGCTATATTTAGCTATCATTAAATATTTAAGTTATGGGTTTATATTGTACTAATGTTCTTCATGATAGCTTCATGAAAGGCTTTATTTTTAAATTTCTCCTAACTCAATGTAATTTTTTTTAAGTTTACGTATTTAATCTCTACACCCAACGTGGAGCTCGAACTTGATCTCAGGGATCAAGTTCAAGAGTCGCCTACTCTTCCGACTGAGCCAGCCAGGCACCCCATCAATGTAATTTTTTAAGACTTTATTTTTTTGAATAGTTTAGATTTACAGAAAAATTGGGTAGTACAGAAGTTCCACATATTCCCTCTCCCAGTTTCTCCAATTATTAACATCTTAGAGTAGGATACATTTGTTACAATTAATAAATGAATATTGATACTTTATTATTAAAATCCATAGTTTATTCATACTTCCTTAGTTTTTATCTAATACCTTTTCTCTCTTCCTGGATCCCACATTACATTTACTTCTTATGTCCCCTTGGGCTCAGTTCTTTTTGGGTATGACAGTTTCTCTGACTTTCCTTTTTTTTGATGACCTTGACAGTTTGGAGGAGTACTGCTCAAGTATTTTGTAGGATGCCCCTCTACTGGAATTTGTCTGATGTCTTCCTTAAGATTAGACTGAGGTTATAGGTTTAATGAGGTCATTTTCCTAAGAGGCCTTAGATACCTTCAGATTAAAAACACATCTAGACTTCATCAAACTGTTGTCGTGGACGTGGCACAACTCATGTATCATTTTAGTACTGTGCCTATTCCATATGACTAGAGGCAGAAAAGACAGTCTTAAGTAAAGAATAGGATGATTAAAAAAAGGTTGGCTTAAAAAAATAATAACTAAGAGGTAGATAACATAAACACAGCAAACAGTAGTCATTTCACTTTGCTTTCCAAAAGTAAGCATGTTCTTTATGAATTAAGATTCAGAAAGTCAGACAAAAATGCATAAATAACAGTTCGATTCTGTATCTTCAGAGGTCAATTTAGGTTTTATGTAAATAAATTTACTCAAGTATATTTATGTCTTCAAAGCATATTGTCACATTTTCATCTACCAAAGAAACAATAAACACTGCAGGATTCTCTTGCCTATGGGTCAAAAATAGTCTTAAATCCTTAGAAAATTTATAGTAGGCAATCATTCTCTCCTGAACAGTGGTTCTCAAACTTTAGCGTGTATTAGAATCACCTGAAAGGCTTGTTCAAACACCGATTCCTGGGTGCCATCCCCATCGGTTTCTTATTCTGTGGGTCTGGGGCAGGCCTGAGAATATGCATTTCTAACAAGCTCCTGAGGCTGCTGGTCTGAGGACACTATGAAAACCACTGCTTAAGAGTCAACAAGGAAGCTACATTTATTAAGTGCCTATGGTGATTCAGGTGTTTTACATATATTACCTTATTTAACTAATTACAGAATCTCATCAAGTATGAGTATCCCTTTTATAAATGGGGAACCTGAGCTCAGGGAAGCTAAGGAACTCAGCTGAGGAGGTAATGGGATTAGATGGCAAAATTACAATTCAGATTTCTGATTCTAATGCCCATGGTTTGCTAGTACAACATACTGCTCCTTGTTGACAAAGGAGTGAAAGGTGCATGTCCTTGGCTCACGAGAAAAGGAGATTGTACCAAAGTGTGTACAGTGCTTAGTTCAGGTCAGTAGGGTATTGAAGGGATCTTTACTGAAGACTTGGCAGAGGCTCAGGGTCATGGAGAGGATTCATTTATCTCTGAACTTCTGAAATAATCAAGGATGAAGTGAATTTAATGTATAATTAACAAAACAGGAAGTACTAAATACTCCTTAATTACTATTATTTTATTATTCCTTACAAAAAACCTCACATTTAAATAAAAGTTCTTAAAAGAATAATCTCATTTACATTTAAGTTTAAAGCATCATACTATTCTAAATGTCTGCCAGTGTATACTACATCACCAATTAACCAATACTTACTCTGGTATTGAAGTAACACAGCATGATGGTCTTCAACAAAAAAGCTCTGACAGTTACTAAAACATTTACCTCCTTTCACAAAGCAAATTAAAAGCAATGACATACAAAGTAAGCAATTTAACCTTTAAGAAAAGTGGTACATTTTACAGTAAGTAAATCACCAAAAAGGAAGTTGCCAATAATATATTTTCTATCACTTTGGTATAATCTATACGAAAAAGAACACTCAGACACAAATTAGACTGCAGACTTAAAATAGTTAATGAGGTCTAACTTTCAGAATGAGAAAAACCCACCCACTCTACATCTCTATTATAAAAACAAATATTTTATGTAAGAAAGATTCCCTTTTAAATATATATATACATATTTCCACTTAATACTGTTAATCAAACCCATAGTTATATTTATTTAAATAGGAATTAAATAAACTGCCCCAAATGCTGATTTCATCTCACAAAACAAAGTATTTTAAATCACAACTTCCAGATGGTATCTTGAATACACTGGTTCCTTAAACAACATTAACAAGCATATATTTAAGAATATATTTTCATCTACAGGTCAGGTAAAGCTTTATTAAATGGTAAACACTTTTAAAAGTGCAGAAACACAAGTTTCAAAAACAAATACATTCAGAAGATCTGCTGTTCAAATAATATTTTTTCAAAACCAGGTGGAGGAGTATGATAAAATTCACTGAACTGGCAATCCAAAATTGCACTGTCATCAACTAGAGACAGAAAAAGAAAAAGAAATTAGAAGCTAACACCTTAATTCACAAGAATACATAATTATAATAAATAGACTGTTTTCATAATACCATAATATTAAAAGGCAGAAAGAATAAATACATCTGCTGCCCAGGTTACAAAACATAATCCTATTGGGTAAAAATAACCACAATGAAAAATAAAATTAAAAACACTGAAAGGATATACATCAAAATATTACTAATAATTAGATAGTGTGAATGAGTACTTTCAGTTTTTTCCTTATTTGCTTCCCTGTATTTTCTCAATTTTATACATTAAGATGTGTTACTTTTTAAAAATTGATTTGAAAAAATTATAGGTTCAGAAAAGGTTGCAAAAATAATAGAGTTCTCTGTACTCTTCATACAGCTTCCCCTAGTGGTAACATCTTACATAACCAAAGTACGATATCAAAACCAGAAAACTGACATCGATCAAGTACTATTAACTAGACTGTAGACCTTATTCAGCTTCTACATCTTTTTACCAGCATTTATCAAAGAGAAATAAATGCATATATCCAAACAAAGGCTATTAGTACTGCAGCCAGATAAAGAAGGGTAAACATAGGGCTAGTGAGGGCTATGAGTTTAGGAAGGGTTTTTTGGGATAAGGATGACTCAGAATATTTACGTGAGATATGAGTGAAATAACTGACAAAGTGAAGTCCCAGAGTTGGGGAGTTTGAAATCTAGACTATACGTTTTGTTTTGTTTTGTTTTGTTTTTAACATGAAGGATACATCTTCGTCTAAGATGGGACAGAAAGGCAAGACTGGATTTGATTGAGAAAAGCTTCAGGAGGGCAGGGGTGGGAAGGTAGAGTTCACTATTGACAGCCCGTTTCTTTATAAAGTAGAAGGTAAGGTCATCTGTGGAGAATGAGGAGGGAATTCAAGAATTATGGTGAAGGTCTGGAATGTGCAGAAATGTAAAAGAACTGCCACAAATGCTGAGAGCTTAGGCTGGAAGGCATAACTTTATAATGACACTTTTCTTCAGTGTGATATGGCTTTTTCTCTCCATAGTTTGAGTGTAAGAACTGACAAAATGAATGACTGGATGGATCTAGGATTAGGGATGGGATGGAGGACAAAAGGTAAAGGAATTTAAGTTTTATTTTTATGTATGTATGTATGTATTTATTAATAATCTCTACAACCAACATAGGGCTCGAACTCACCACCCCTATATAAAGAGTCAGATGCTCTACTGACTAAGCCAGCCAGGCATCCCTTAAGTTTAATTTTTATCTCTGATATTATCAGACCATTAAAATACTTGGCTTAATTTAACTGATTTATCAATGTCAATTTATGAAATATACTTTATAACTTACTATCTATAACTTTACTACATTAAAAATTATGCTAAATCAAAGAAACAATTTGGAATAAAATGTATTTGCTATACTCACTTGTATAATTTGATATTTATTTCATTTCTCAGACTAAATTATTTAGAGTATTAAGCTACTTTCCATTTAAGTAGATAAAGGAATTGCTTTACCCAATATGGCAAAGAAACTAACCAAAATCAAACTTAAAAAATACACTTTTATATGCAAAGACAGGAAGGTAAAATCACTGAAAAATAATTTTGGGGAGAAAAGACTAATGAAAACAACTAAAAAGTAGAGCATAAGCCTTAGTTGTTATCATATTATCAAATACTTACATTTGTTATTTGTATGCTTTTCTGATCATCACTAAAACTGCTACCTTTCTAGTATATTACTATAAAAATTAATAATTAGTTCTTATAATAGCTCAAATCTAAGAACTTAAAAGTAATTAAATGAGAAAATATTTTTAGATTACTAAAACCATAGGCAGAAAAATAATACACCTGTTGTTTTAACTTAGTAAGATGCCTTATTTTTTAGAGATACATATGAAATATTTATGAATAAAATGATGTAATATCTGGCATTTGCTTCAAAATAATCCAAGGATGGAAGGTGAAAAACAGAAGTATTAGCATTAGGGGGCAGATGAAACCTGACTGGCTCCAAGCTGATAACTGTTTGAAGCGGGGTGATGGGTACATGAAAGGATCATTATACCATTCTCTTTACATCTATACATGTTTGGATTTTTCTATAATAAAAATTAAATGGTATAGAGTCATCTCTTAAGTAACCCAATTCTTGGGAGGATGCACTTGTACAGAAATCATAGTACATACATATACATAACCATCAAAAGCAAAACAATCAATATGAAACTATTCTAAGTCACAATTTCTCTCAGAAGAGTTTTAACACTTAGGTAACTTTATAAAGGTAACTAATGCTCAGTCTATATAAAATTCCCATCCCTGGCTCAAAAATATTCTTTACAATTACATTTCCTGGTCACCTAAATCTCCCTAATAACTGGCAGAAAGAGCTCTGTAAACTCAGCAAAGCTCTTTGGAACTTTCTAGAATATAAGATTACATAATTAAAAAAGGGAGTATGTTACTGCATATTTAAGTATAATCGTTGTATTTGTTTTTTGTTTTTTTTTTAAGATTTTATTTATTTGACAGAGAGAGACACAGTGAGAGAGGGAACACAAGCAGGGGGGCTGGGGGAGGGAGAAGCAGGCTTCCCGCCGAGCAGGGAGCCTGATAAGGGGCTCGATCCCAGGACGCTGGGATCATGACCTGAGCTGAAAGCAGACGCTTAATGAATGAGCCACCCAGGCGCCCCTAATCGTTGTATTTGGGAAAAAATTTTTAATACATCGGGAATAAAAAACTTCAAGTGGGATTCTGATATCCTACTGAGTACGTTTCATATAAAAGAGGTCCTTATTAACTTGTCCAGATTTTCAAATGTTAGAAAGTTAATGAAAATGTTAAGTAAAAGTTAACATATATAATAATAATAATAATATTTAGAAATATTTTAGCTTACCATAAACAACTGGATACACTGTCCCTCGTATACCTGATGCTGGACAATGCATATTTTTTCCATTCAAATATACATTTAATTCTACATGGTCATACGTAATACCCTAGGAAGGAAAGAAAATATTAAAAAGTAAAAATATAAATGTTCCATAAAAAGCCTAAATAGTCAGAAAGCACCCACTGGGAAGCATGGAAAAAACTTAATTTTAATTGTGTCACAATAGCTTTCATTAAGGGTTTACAATTTGGTGGAGTTCTGCTTGAACTGAGCTAAAAAAAAAAACCATAAAAAAACAGTGGTGATTACGTGGGGGAAAAGTCGGGTGAAGTTCCAAGAGTTCACATCAGAGGTAAAACAAATGAGAACAGTTTGACGCCTAGCATTATATTCAGATAATCTGAATCTTATATTGTGAATATATTTTTTTTAAAGGATTTTATTTATTTGACAGAGAGAGACAAAGCGAGAGAGGGAACACAAGCAGCGGGAATGGGAGAGGGAGAAGCAGGCTTCCCGCCGAGCAGGGAGCCCGATGAGGGGCTCGATCCGAGGACCCTGGGATCATGACCTGAGCCGAAGGCAGACGCTTAACGACTGAGCCACCCAGGTGTCCCTATATTGTGAATATTAAGACGATATAAGTACTGCCTGCCATGTACAGAGAGACCTTTATTTTTTTTAATTTATTTGAGAGAGAGAGAGAGTGCACTGGGGGGAGGTGGGGAGGAGGAGAGGCAGAGAGAGAGAAAGAGAGAGAGAGAGAGAGAAGCAGACTCCCCGATGAGTGGAGAGCCCAATGCAGGGCTTGAGGCAGAGCTTGATCTCACGACCCTGAGATCATGACCTGAGCTGAAACCAAGAGTCGGATGCTTAACTGACTGTGCCACCCAGGCACTCCCAGAGAGACCTTTAAAAGTCATACAGAAAATATTGCTCTCTCTCTATAGGATTTAATCTTAAAGGGGAAAAACAATGAGGTTTTCGGCATTAGGGCTTACTACCCGTCACTGTTCTCAAGTTGTGAAGTGTCGTTATAGAACTTATTTCTGAAAAGAAATACATTTCCATCTCTTTACCTTGCTTTCAAATATGTCAAATGTATTATCAAGGTAAAGCTAGTGTTTACAATGGAATATAATTGGTAGCTAGTATCAAGCTGAAAACAGAAAAATTGCTCAAAAGAGTAAAAAAAAAAGTGGAATAAAAATGGGTTAATCTGTTTATCTGAACATTATTGACGGTGCAAAAGTCAAAACTAATAATAAATAGTTATTATTATTAAAATGCTGGAAAATACTTTGAAAGCCTGTATAATGTACCAAGCACTATTCTAAGTACTTCATATTTAGTCCTCACAACAAGATGGGTATTATTATTATTACTATTATCCCCATTTTACAGATGAAGTAGCTAAGGCACAAAAAGATTAAATAATTTATGTAAGGTTACAGAACTAGGAAGTGACAGAGCTGGGATTTAAATCCATGCAGTATGGCTTCAGAATACTTACTCTACTTGCCCTGCCATACTACCTCTCTTTAAAACTTTATACAATAGTTACTAACTGCTGGCAGACATTTCTTAATTTGAAGAATTAAGAATAGACAGCAGAGATCTTTGAACAGCAAAATCATCACAGACCAAGAAGACCACTCCAGGGATTTCTGACTGTGGATATATTATATCAACTTAAAAAACTTTTAGAGGTAGATTGGGACACCTGGGTGGCTCAGCTGGTTAAGCGTCTCCCTTGGGCGCAGGTCATGATCCCAGGATCCTGGGATCGAGTCCCACACTGGGTTCCCTGATCAGTGGGAAGCCTGCTTCTCCCTCTGCCTGCCGCCTCCCCCTCCGCCCACCAGCTTATACTCTCATGCTCTCTCTCTCTGGTAAATAAGTAAATAAAATCTTTGAAAAAAAGAAAGAAAAAAAAACTTTTAGAGGTAGAAAAAGATCTTACAGATGATCTAGTCTTAACTCCTTCACTTTCTCCTTAAAACAACAAAGGCCCAGATGAGTCAGTGTGTTAAGTGCTATAAAATATTCTCTTGGGGCACCTGGGTGGCTCAGGCAGTTAAGCCTCTTGGTTTCAGCTCAGGTCATGATCTCATGGGTCAAGCTCTGCACTCAGCAGGGAGTCTGGCTCTCTAAAATAAATAAGTAAATCTTTTTAAAAAATCTCCTCAAATCTTAGCAAAGCCAGGGTTAAAGAATAATTTGTTAATAGTTAAGAAATATTGAGAGAGACAGATAGTTTCTGTTTCATTTCAGTTTATGTATTTAAATATAGTAATGAAGCTAACTGATGGCTGGGATTAATTTTTGTAATGAAGAGGACTTTTTTCATTTAAAATACAAAATTACACAAAAACAATGTGTCCTCTCTTTATAGGAACACCTTACGGGATATCTAGATCAGCGCAGTGGTCTGTAATCCAGTCACCCTTCACCACCTGGTGGCAGCATAACCTCCTGCAAGCAAGCAGGTATTAAAAGCCAAACCTGCAGCATCATGGCAAAATCCCAATGCTGAAGAAAAGAAGTGAGAAAGGATTTGTAAGAACCCCCAACTCCTATTAGCAAAGTTTAGTTCAAGTATTTCTAACTTAATCTGTCCTTTTATATGATCCAGAAACTAGGTTTCATTCGACCATAATGATACCAAAAAATCTGACACGTTCAAGGCATTTATCAATAATTGCTTGCACATTCAGTGAACAGACTCTGTAATTAAGCTGCCTGTATTATACTCCGGGATTCTTCCATAAAAGAAGTTACTTACCTTCTCCTAATCTATGAAATGGTAATAATAATACTATATTATAGAGTCATTATGAGGATTAAACAATTTAATCCCTGGCAGGCATTTAAAACAGTGCCTGGCCCATAATAAATGCTAGAGAAGTGTTTGCTATTATTATTATTATTACATAGAATGTTTATAAAACTTCTCTGAAATTAAACTGAAAAATGCAATTTTAGACTATAATTTCCACTTCTCAAAACTATACGTAAAAGGAAAAAATAAGCCAGGTATGCCTTCCCAGTGCTACAGTAGGCCCTGTGGGTACTGTAGGATTACTGTATGACTATAATCATTTGGTCAGATGTTGAAAGCTTATTTTTCTTCATTTCTCCTCAGGGAATGGTATATAACTGAAATTCTGCACATGTGAGAATGTTTTTTCCTGTCTTAAATCCATTCTACTTTTCCTATGCCACCGTCAGCAATTTGGTGAAATTTGTTCTCAAATGTTTGAACTAGGAATATAAAGGTAATATGGTAGGGTAATGTTTTACTTTTCTTGATTCTGCATATATTTCACCTTTTCTAAAGTCCTCCTTTTATCAGAATGGATATGAAAACTTAAAGTTTAATTTAATAAAGCTGATAGACTAAAAATGACATTCTTAAATCTGTCAATTTGTGGGATCAGTTATCTCAATGAATGAGATAGGAAGGCAAGAATAACACACAGTAGAAGTTCAACACATCAACAAAGAAAAACATTTGTTACTGATTATCCTTGCTTATGTTTGAATTTCATCTTAGTGTAAACAGGATGATAGCATCGACTTGACTTCAAGATTCTCTTTCAAGAATATCCATTTGAATAAGCGTGTTCTATATTATGGACATCTGGCAATGATCTACAAATACAAAACCAACTATTCAAAAAGAACGGGGAAAAGTAGATTTTAAAAATGGTTTATGCCTTTTGTCTCCTAAAACACTTTCTTTTCCTTTTTTTTTTTTTGCCTAAAACTCTTTCAACAATTTCCCTATTTAAAAACTAGGGAAGCCTGGGTGGCTCAGTCGGATAAGTGTCCGACTCTTGATTTTGGCTCAGGTCATGATCTCAGGGTCGTGATATCGAGCCCTGTGTCGGACTCCATGCTGGGTGTGGAGCCTGCTTAAGATTCTCTCACCCTGTCCCTCTCCTCTCTCTCCCTCTCTAAAACACAAAACAAAACTAAATGTTCTTCATATTTTTTAAATTGCAGAAAAGAAAAGAAAGATCAGGGGCACCTGGGTGGCTTAGCTGGTTAAGCGTCCAACTCTTTTGATTTTTGGCTCAGGTCATGATCTCAGGGTCATGGACTGAGCCCTGCATCAGGTACTGTGCTCAGAGGGAGTCTGCTTGAGAGTCTCTCTCTCCCTCTCCCTCCCTCTAAATAAATAAACCGCCACTCTCTCCCTAAAATAAATAAACCTTTAAGAAAAATGAAAGATCAGACCACAGTTAAAAATCTGAATTTCCACATTTCTCCTCCTTTTCATCAAAATACTATATCTTTCTTCAGTTCAGTAACGGGGATTTACCCTGTTTGTGTCACCTTATTATTAGAAACTTTCCCTCATTATGTAGATTCCTTTCAACTTAGTACCAGAGCCAGGAACACAAGGTTCTATGTATAAGGGCATCTTTGCTGAAGCAGATCTTAGGACTCTGTTCTCAATCAATAGCTAATAGCCTGAACCCAGGGTATAAGTTTCTTGGATAGTGCCATTTAAGAAGTAACTGGGAAAGCAGAAAGGTATCTTTGGATTATATTTTCAACACGGTGGCTTTGGTAAAGACTTAAATATATTAGTTGAGAATAAAAATAGAGAAGTCTTAATAATATATGTAACTCTTTTTATCCCCTGCTTTCCAAAAAAACTTCTCTCCAATCAAACCTTAGGATTTTGAGTCCAGTTCTTTGAAGAGTTCTCAAAGTGAAGAAGTTTAATAAGATTAAGTTTAATGAGGACCAACACTCCTAATAAAATGCTGTAGTTCTTTTAGAGATATTCATAACAAATTAAATACAGGCATACCTTGTTTTATTGCACTTCGCAGATACTGCATTTTTTACAAATTGAAGGTCTGTGGCAACCATGTGTTGAGCAAGTCTATTGGTGCCATTTTTCCAACAGTGTTTGCTCACTAAAAGTCTCTGGGTCACATTTTGGTAGTTCTTGCAATGTTTCAAACTTTTTCATTATTTTATTTGTTAAGGTGATCTGTGTTGATGTTACTATTGCGATTACTTTGGGGTGCCAAACCATGCCCATATAAGACCATTAACTTGATCAATAAATGTGTGGGTTTTAACTGCTCCACTGACTAGGTGTTCCTGTCTCCCCCCCTCTCCTCTGGCCTCCTTATTCCCTTACTGAATACTGAAATTGGGCCAATTAATAACCCTACAATGGCCTCTAAGTGTTCAAGTGAAAGGAAGTCACATGTCTCTCACTTTAAATAAAAAGTCAGAAATGATTAAGCTCAGTGAGGAAGGCATGTAGAAAGCCACGACAGGCCAAAAGCTAGGCCTCTTGCACCAATTAGCTGTGTTGTGAATACAAAGGAAAACTTCTTGAAGAAAATTAAAAGTGTTACTCCAGTGAACACACAAATAATAAGAAAGCAAAACAGACTTATTGCTGATACGGAGAAATTTTGGTGGTCTGCTTAGATCAAATCAGCCATAATATTCTCTTAACCCAAAGCCTAATCCAGAACAAGGCCCTAACTCTTTTCAATTCTATGACGGCTGAGAGAGGTGAGGAAGCTGCAGAAGAAAAGCTGGAAGCTAGCAGAAGTTGGTTCATGACGTTTAAGGAAAGAGGCCATTTCTGTAACAAAAGTGCAAGGTGAAGCAGCAAGTTATCCAGGAGATCTAGCCAAGTGAAGGTGGCTACATTGAACAACAGATTTTCAGTGTAGATGAAACAGCCTTATACTGGAAGAAGATGCCATCTAGGATTTTCAGAGCTACACAGGAGAAGTCAATGCCTGGCGTCAAAGGACAGGCTGATTCTCTTATTAGGGGCTATGCAGCTGGTGACTTTAAGTTGAAGCCAATGCTCAGTGACCATTCCAAAAATCCTAGGGCCCTTAAGAATGATGTTAAATCTACTCTGTGTGCTCTATAAATGGAACAATAAAGCCTGGATAACAGCACATCTGTTTATAACACGGTTTACTGAATATTTTAAGCCCACAGTTGAGACCTACTGCTCCAGAAAAAAGGACTCCTTTCAAAACATCACTGCTCTCCGACAATGCATCTATCTGTTCACCCAAAAGCTCTGATGGAGATATACAACGAGATTAATGCTGTTTTCATGCCTTCTAACATAGCATCCATTCTGTAGCCCCGGGATCAAGGAATAATTTCAACTTTCAAGTCTTATTGCTTAAGAAATACATTTCGTAAGGCTATAGCTGCCATAGATAGTGATTCTTCTGAAGGATCTCAGCAAAGTAAACTGAAAACCTTCTGAAGAGGATTCACCATTCTAGGTGCCCTTAAGAACATTCATGATTTAGGGTGCCTGGGTGGCTCGGTTGGTTAAGCAGCTGACTCTTGGTCTCAGCTCAGGTCTTGATCTCAGGGTCGTGAGTTCAAGCCCCATGTTGGGCTCCACGTTGGGCATGGAGCCTACTTAAGAAAAAAAAAGAACATTCATGATTCATGAGAATTCGTCAAAATATCCACATTAACAGGAGTTTGGAAGAAGTTGATTCCAATCCTCAAGAATGACTTTGAGGGTTTCAAGACTTCAGCAGAGGAATGAACTGTGGAGATGGTAGAAACAGCAAGAGAACTAGAATTAGAAGTGGAGCCTGAAGATGTGACTAAATTGCTGCGATCTCCTGATAAAACTTAAGCGGATGAAGAGTTGCTTCTTGTGGATGAGCAAAGAAAGTGGTTTCTTGAGATGGAATCTACTCCTGGTGAAGATTGTTGAAATGACAACAAAGAATTTAAAATATTATATAAACTTAGTTGATGAGGCAGCAGCAGGGTTTGACAGAATTGAAACTAACTTTGAAAGAAGTTCTACTTTGGGCAAAATGCTGTCAAACAGCATCACATGCCATAGAGAAATTGTTAATGAAAAGAAGGGTCAATCTTTGCAGCAAAATGCACTGTTGTCTTCTTTTAAGAAATTGTGATGGCCACCCTAACCTTCAGCAACCACCACCCTGATCAAGTCAGGAGCCATCAACATTGAGGCAAGACCCTCCACCAGCAAAAAGATTCTGACTCACTAGAAGTTCAGATGATGGTCAGCATTTTTTAGCAATAAAGTATTTTTAAATTAAGATACATCCATTTTTTTAAACATAACGCTATTATACACTTAAAAGACTACAGTGTAGTGTAAACATATATATTCACTGGGAAACCAAAAACATCATTTGACTTGCTTTCCTGCAATATTTGCTTTATTGCAGTGGTCTGGAACCAAACCCACAGCATGTCCGAGGTATGCCTGCAATAAATGTCAAAATTTTCTCTAAGAGATCACTAGTTGCAAAAATACCTAATATTTTCTTTTTTCTTTTTTTTTTTTTTAAAGATTTTATTTATTTATTTGAGACAGAGAGAATGAGAGAGAGAGAGCACATGAGAGGGGGGAGGGTCCGAGGGAGAAGCAGACTCCCTGCCGAGCAGGGAGCCCGATGCGGGACTCGATCCCGGGACTCCAGGATCATGACCTGAGCCGAAGGCAGCCGCTTAACCGACTGAGCCACCCAGGCGCCCAATACCTAATATTTTCTAATATGAATGTCAGCAAACTTTTAAAATTGTGGGCCAAGATTTCTCTGATGTGAGAGAAGCAGGAGATGTTGATAAGCAGCCAACCTGTCATTAATTCTCCTGAATGGACATAAGGGCTCATGCGGATTTTCCTGGCCGGGGACAGACAGCTCTAGAAAGGAGAGCAGTTTGGTAAGGCAGCAGTAGCTACCCAAGTGCTCTCTCTGGAATATGTACCGTCTCATTAGATCCAATCCCAGTGCTTCCGAATTCAAACCACAAACTCCCAGGCAAAACTGTATACACTAAAAGCAGTTCAACTTTAATAATTTACAGTGGAAAACAATTCCACAAGAAAACTTACCACCACATCTCCCTCCTGCGGAAGACTGTTTGCTGGCAGCCTATTTTTCTCCTCGTTGTTGTGGTAGAGGGCTCCATCATTCCTCATCACCAGGCTGTGCACATCTCGGCCAAGAGGAATCTGATTCAAGTTAACTTTCTGAGTTGCAACGCCAATACCCCATATTCCTAAAAAATAATAGTTTAAATGCCCCCAAAATCTGAAGAATACAAATATGAAAGAAGGGATTGTTTTTAAGAGTGTTAAGTTGTTTTTAAAAGAAGTAGTGTACTATCACTAAACTATTTTTTTATTAATTTTTTTAAAAAACAAATCTTTTAAAAGTAGTTTGCAAACTACCCTATGTTCTCTACAGATGGAGTACAACGTAGGAGATAAGAGTGGGTCCTGAAGCTGTACCGTCTAGGTTAAACCTTTGGCTTAACTAGGTCATCTGGGGCAAGGTATTTAATCTGTCTCTGCTTCCTCACCTGTGAACTTGGGATTCTAACAGTACTTACTTCAAAGGGTTATTAAAAGATATAGCAAGGTAACCAAGTAAATACTTGGAACAGTGTAAGTATTCCCCCCAAAACTGGTTAAGTAAAGCGGAGTATTTTTTAAAAGATGTTAGCTATTATCATCACTATTCTCTAAAAGACATTTTGAAAAAGCTACACAATTAATTTAAATGGCCTAGGGTTCTAGTCAAGCACTACCTCAGAGAAGTGGGAAATTAGTCTCTAGTTTTTGCATCTCTAATGCGTGACAAATGACACAGACTTGGTCAATACCATGAAGAGGAGAAAATTAATGATGAACTATAAAATGATTTTCTTACCCGTACCTTAAATCAGTGAGTTTAAAACCTTTGGTCTAAGCTGATTTTAAGCAAGCAGCTCTCCTCTTAACCAGCCAAACAGAATACCTAGTAGAGCTCTGGATTTTGTTTCAAACTGTTTCCTTCCCAGTTTTTATCAAAATCAGTTAGGAGAAAATCTATAAATGGAAGAAGGTTTGAAGATCATGTTGCCAATCAATTTTTCTGAATTGAGCAAAACTATCAAAAAGTTGCATGTCTGGGCTTCCTAAATAATCTTACTATATAATTTATCCTCCAGAGTGGGATAATTTAAGAGTGACAGAAGGTGATAATACTAATTTCATGGGACAACAGTTCTAGACAGGGTTATAGAGTCTCTTTACTCCTAAAGAACTGTGCCTGCTGTGATACACTTGGGCATAACTGCCTCAGGTTTTCACTGAGAGATCAATTTACAAACTCCAACAATGTATTTATTCTAGAGATGTCACTGAGGATGCCATCCTTTACAAAAATCCACATAAAAATTTGTACTGGATTTAAGGCTCAAGAAAATATTTGCTTCTCTTGAGAAAAGGTAGGTTGTACTTGAAAAGATTTTAGTAACCAGAGACATTTTGCAGCTAACTTGTAAAAGAATGAAATGCAGGACAGTTTCATATTTATTTCACATACTTAATAAAATCAGTATTTTAAATTAATTTAGAAAACAAGCCCCAGAAGGATGTTTTATATCATTCAAGCTTGTCGAGTATGATTAATTTACTACCCTTTAGTTTTCCTACTCTATATCTATACTTATATTATTCATGCTGTATTTCACTAGAAGCTTTTTTTATAACAAAGCTTTAAAAAATATATTTCCCCACACTCAATATGGCTACAAGTTAACTAATTGCTATTCTAATACTCAAACAGAATTGCTGTATGATTCAAAAAACTCTGTAAATTTTTTAATGAGAGGGCGCCTGGCTGGCTCAGTCGTTAAGGGTCTGCCTTCTGCTCAGGTCATGACCCCAGGGTCCTGGGATCAAGCCCCGCATCGGGCTCCCTGCTCAGCGGGAAGCCTGCTTCTCCCTCTCCCACTCCCCTTGCTTGTGTTCCCTCTCTTGCTGTGTCTCTCTCTGTCAAATAAATAAATAAAATATTTGAAAAATAAATTTTTTTAAAATGAGAAATATAGACATTAGAATTCTAAATCTGCTAATTGCTTCAGAAGACAATGAATCTGGGTATTTTAACAAGATTTATGAGAAAAAAATTCAGGATCATAAGATGGATTTTATCCTAAAATAAAACAGGAAGAATCTACACCTTTAATGCTTGGCCAAATGAAATGGAGCATCTAGCACCCATTCATAATGCTAGTGCCTTACACTGACGGATCCAGTGTAATACACACTCCTAATTATAACCAGTGTGAAGCAGGAAAGACAGTTCCTGTAATCCCATTTTATAGATAACAAAACTGAACCTAAAACAACTCAATAACTAAACTACTTTAACCAGGATCACACAAGAGGAGGGGAAAAAAAGTCCTTCCAAATAAGTTTGGTGCTTTTTTTATTGCCTCCTTACTCTTTTTCATATACTGAAAATTGCTCTTAATATTTACAGTTAGTACTTTCAATAGTAAAGGACCATTATACCAACCTGTGGACTGGATTTTGAATTCAAAGTAGCTTTTGTTTTGATGTAAAGGGGCACTGGCTAAACAACCTCCTGTTCCACATATTCTTCTTCCATTTTTTACAATGACAACATCTGTTCCTAAATAAAAAATGCAGAGACCGTGTAAAGTTTATTTTCTTATCCAACAATCAAGGTTAATTTGTTTCACTTCTAACGCTGTCAAAAAAAATAGCGATGCCATATTTACTCTGAAATACAGAAACGCTGCTACATTAAAAACAATTTTTAGTTCACTCTTTTCTTCCCTGAGAAAGTTTATGTCTAATATTCATTTGTGGCTAGAAATCTTGTTTAGAAACGCAGTAAGTAGTAACTCTGTAGGAGGAGCACCAGAGGCGCTCCCCTCGCCTGGGGACAGCTGACGAGCCTCGGGCGGCGGCTGCGCCGAGATTCCGGGGAAAATGGGTAGGTACGTCCACACCACCAGCTCCCGATGACAGGAGCAGACAGGGCTGCGTAGCCCTGAACACAGAGCAGGGCCGAGGTGGAGTCGGCCGGCGTCTGGAAGAGATCCGCGAGCCAAAACCGGGTCGAGGGCAGCAGCTCAGAGCGAGGAGCGGGGGGCGGCGCCCGGAGGGGCAGGGCCGCGTGTGGTCCTCCCGACCCCGCAATGCCCCCGACCCGCCGCGCCAAACCCGGCGTCGGCCGTTGGGTCTGGGGAAGGGAGGGCCTTACCCATGTGCTGCGTGTCCAGCTGCACGGCCGGCATCTCTTTCAGAGGGATGTGTCCCGTCCCGCCGTCCCTGCAGCACCGCAGGCAGCAGAACACCGACGCGGCCATCGCGCCAGGACCACAGACTCCACCGTCGCCGCCGCCGCCGCCGCCGCTCGCCCGCCGCTCGCCCGCAGCCTCTAGACCGCGACGGCACCGCCCCCACGCCTCCGCTCCGCCTCCCGCCCCTGCCCGAGCGCCAGAGTCTGTGTGGAGCGCGCAGACCGATACAGCGACGCCCCACGCCGGGAGGGCGCAGCGCAGGCAGAGGCGTAGCCGGCCCCGGACGGAGGATGCGGAGGCTGCGCGCGCGGGGAGGGGCGGGGCCCAGGAGGGGGCGGGGCTAGAGGCGGAGCGGGGGCAGAGGGCGTGACGGGCGGGCGGGCGGAGGACCTCATGCCCCAGCGCGCGGGGTCCTTTTTGCCTTGGCGGCGGGGGGAGTCACGTTTGAGTCCTTACGTTGAGCAGCACGCAAGGAGTCCGAGCTCTCCGGGCACTCAGTAGTCGTTGAATGCTGAGTTTTAAAAACCGTCCCCCCCCAGCTTTGACCTTACCTTTAGGGATGAATTGACAGAAGCAAGTCAGGCTGGGGGAGTGGGAGCTGATAAAGGACCCCAAGGTTTTCCACATGTCCCCCACACCGCGTGCCCAGGGCTGGGAGAACTTTGCCTCCGCCGAGGGCCTCCGCCCCCTACCGTGGCTGGCTTCTGAAGAATTTCCTCAAATTCTAAATAGACGCACGGGCGCCAGGAGTAATGGCTGTTACTGATTTCACCGTGAATGTGCACCCGGGGTTCTAAGTCGGCCCTGGTGCATTTTAGGTGTAGGGATGAGCATTCCGTGGCCCTCGGGGCCGCGCGGTTAGGGGCGCGCAGGAGGCTGTTTCAGGAGGATACCACTGGGCCGGGGCGGGAGGGCAATGCTTGACCGGCCTCTGCCAAGCTCACCCTCCCGGTGGACTGGGGGTTTCGAGGAGAGTGAAGGGAACTCCGGAGGCAGCGAGGAGGATGTCTGGCCCCCCAAGGGAAGCCCTAGGTTCCTACCGCCTGCTCCTTTCTGCTTCCAAGTAGGAGGCCCACGGGGTGGTCACCTGTCATTTCCTTGCCTACTTAGATCCTCTGTCCCTGGTCGATTTTATTTAAATACAGCTTGGGGCCCCGAGATGGTCTTCAATGACCTCTAGAATTAGCCTGGTTCAAACCTTTATTCCCAAATAAGGCTTTGCCCGGGGTTCAGGTCCTGGGAAAGGGATGCAAGATGCCCACTTAATATGTAATGGGTTCCATAACTATTTAGTGACCTGAGTGCAAATATCCTTAATGGAGGATTTTTCCCTCTACAGAATAAGAGAATTCTTTCAGGGTCCTGGGTCTCTTTGCTGTCTATACAAATGGTGTTTTCATTACAATAGGGAAAACCTCCAAATTCTGTACTTTATTTAGTTACCATAGAATTGATAACTAAGATGATTATTGAAGTGACTGAGGGTGGACTCTCATTGCCTATAAAGTACTTTCTTGGTAATCATTTTACACAAGACATTTTCCTTTTACTGAAAACCTCGACCTTTATTCGGAGAGTTTAGTGTTCAGTTCTCTTTCCACTGGGAGGGAAGGGGAAATTGAATAGAATGTTGGAGAGACAAAATTTCCTGTCATTCCATGAGGTGGGCACTCTTTGACATGTATCTAATTGAATCCTTCAAAGTTTTAGGGTGGATATTGTCCCCATTTTATAGATGAAGAAATAGAGTTAGAGGGATTACATAACTTGGTGTAGCCTCAAATGACTAGGAAATAAACAAGGTAAGACACCTAAGCCTATATTAGCTCCACCAGATCATGCTGCAGCTCAAATTCTAAAGATTTAACTCTTGTAATAAATGCTGAAATTCTTTTAAAAGTGCCCTCAATTCAAAATGCAGATTTGCACTTTATTTTTGTATGTTTCATTAATCTCCGTATTGGCTATCAGCTGCCATAACTCAGACAATAACATAAAATAGCAGTTGTTAAAAGGTAAAATATTTACTCAGAAATATTATTAAAAGCAGTACCTGTATTTAATATATAACAAACATTTAGGCCATTCAAGGCACTCACATCTTCAGTGAAAAGCTGGACTATGAGATGGCGTGAATTCTCCATTACTGTAGAAGCAGAACTGCCATACTCTTTGGTGACTAGAAGAGTAATCTGTTGGGCCACTGCCCAGTGCACTTTGCCCTCAATGTAGCAACTCCAGTGTACTCAGCACTATGAAGCAAGCAAAACCGGTTAGCTCCTAAAACATACTTCCCTGTCTTGGCAGATGAATGCCATCCATGAGCTCACAGACCTTATTCTTCTTATATCTGGGATTCTAATCCTTTCATTATTATTTTCAAAGGAATTATCCTTCCTTTTTGAAAAGCACAGTGCTAAAGATATTTTGACAGTCTTTCACAGCTATCACTTTAAATAACAATCACAAATAAAGCCTACAAAAAGTTTCCCAATAGTTAGTTAGAAGGTCATTTATCTAAGTCAAAAGCAGTAAGAGAGAATGACTACTTGAAAAAAAAAAGTCGGCTCCAGCGACATATGCCAGGAACTTGAGAACTGATAGGACAATAATGTAAAGCATGTGTTTCCAAGTTGAGTTTAACATCATGCTCAAGATTTTCTTTAATGGCTTTTATGCCAACCAGACATCTCCTGTTAGTGAACTTTACACTCTGTACTGGGTCACACAAAATGGTTTCTTTTTATTTATTTATTTATTTTTTTAAGGTTTTTTTTTTTTTTTTTTTTTTTTTTGACAGAGGGAGAGACAGCGGGAGAGAAACACAGGCAGGGGGAGTGGGAGAGGGAGAAGCAGGCTTCCTGCGGAGCAGGGAGCCCGATGCGGGGCTCGATCCCAGGACCCTGGGATCATGACCTGAGCAGAAGGCAGACGCTTAATGACTGAGCCACCCACGACTGCGAGATGAACCATGAGAGACTATGGACTCTGAGACCCACTTCTCTCTGGTTCACACAAAATGGTTTCTTTTTTAAAAATTCATTAATCAGTTATTAAGCCAAACTTTTTTCTTGGGGTAATCCAGACCCCATTTGTGATCTTTCAAAAATCAGATACATTAAAAAAACTCATTCTTCTGAAAACTAAAAATATTCCTGGGACCTTGATCTATTCATTATTATAATTTTGAGTAATAGTAACTGACAGTTATGTGGTACTTACTATTGCCAGGCAATAAGTGCTTTTTATAAACTAATTTAATCCTTGTAACAACCCCATGAGGTAAAAGTATCCTCCACTGTACAATGGAGGAAGCTGAGGCAAAGAAAAGAAAGGTGCCTACGGGGCGCCTTGGTGGCTCAGTTGGTTAAGCAGCTGACTCTTGATTTCCACTCAAGTCATGATCTCAGGGTCTTGGGGTCAAGCCCCCCATTGAGTTCCATGCTCAGCATGGAGTCAGCTTGAGAATCTCTCTCTCCCCCTCCCTCTGCTCCTTCCCCTGCTCGTGCTTTCTTCTGCATATTTTCTCTTCTTAAATTAAAAAAAAATTAAAAAGCAAGCAAGCAAGCAAGAAAGGTGCCAATATTCACACAGTCAAGTGATGAAGCTGCATTCAAACCCAGGCAGTCTGGCTCTAGGGTCTTTGTTTTAAAGATTTATTTATTTATTTTAGGGAGAGAGAGAGAGAGAGAAGGTGAACACTTGGGGGTGAAGGGCAGAAGGAGAGGGGAGAGAATCCCAACAAATTCCACACTGAGCGTGAAGCCCCGATGCAGGGCTTGATCCCAGGACCCTGAGATCCCTACCTGAGCTGAAAGGAAGAGTTGGATGCTTAACTGACTCCATCATGTAGGTGCCCCTCTAGGGTCTTTGTTCTTAACCCCTATACAAACTGCCTCCCTAGGGTGCTACATTTAAGAATAAATTCCTAATTTTTGTTTACAATCTCTTCCCTCATCTCAAAAGCTGACATTTAAATTTGGTTGGCATTAATTGCACTCCTTTAAAAAATATGCAATGGAAAAAAGACAGTCTCTTCAATAAATGGTGCTGGGAAAATTGGACAGCCACATGCAGAAGAATGAAACTCGACCATTCTTTAACACCATACACAAAGATAAACTCAAAATGGATGAAAGACCTCAATGTGAGACAGGAATCCATCAAAATCTTAGAGGAGAACATAGGCAATAACCTCTTTGACATTGGCCACAGCAACTTCTTTCAAGATTCTCCAAAAGCTAGTGAAACAAAAGCAAAAATGAACTTTTGGGACTTCATCAAGATAAAAAGCTTCAGCATAGCAAAGGAAACAGTCAACAAAACAAAGGGGCAACCCACAGAATGGGAGAAGATATTTGCAAATAACACTACAGATAAAGGGCTGGTATCCAAGATCTATAAAAAACTTCTCAAACTCAACACCCAAAAAACAAATAATCAAGTCAAAAAGTGGGCAGAAGACATGAACAGACACTTCTCTGAAGAAGACATAAAATGGCTAACAGATACACGAAAAAATGTTCATCATCATTAGCCATCAGGGAAATTCAAATCAAAACCACATTGAGATACCACCTTACACCAGTTAGAATGGCAAAAATTGACAAGGCAAGAAACAACAAATGTTGGAGAGGTTGTGGAGAAAGGGGAACCCTCTTACACTGTTGGTGGGAATGCAAGTTGGTACAGTCACTTTGGAAAACAGTGTGGAGGTGCCTCAAAACATTAAAAATAGAGCTACCCTATAACCCAGCAATTGCACTCCTGGGTATTTACCCCAAAGACGCAGATGTAGTGAAAAGAAGGGCCATATGCACCCCAAAGTTCATAGCAGCAATGTCCACGATAGCCAAACTGTGGAAAGAGCCGAGATGCCCTTCAACAGATGAATGGATAAAGAAGATGTGGTCCATATATACAGTGGAATATTACTCAGCCATCAGAAAGGATGAATACCCAACTTTTACATCAACATGGATGGGACTGGAGGAGATTATGCTAAGTGAAATAAGTCAAGCAGAGAAAGTCAATTATCATATGGTTTCACTTATTTGTGGGACATAAGGAATAGCATGGAGGACATTAGGAGAAGGAAGGGAAAAATGAAGGTGGGGGGAATCGGAGGGAGAGATGAACCATGAAAGACTATGGACGCTGAG